ATCGGAACACTGAACCGTCCATATATCCCGTAATCGCAACTCATAACCTAAAACCCTAAATCACAACTCAGTCTCATCTCCATCTCTCACTCTCTAAGGTGACATCCGTCCCCATCTCTGACGAAATCAGTCCCCATCTCCGACGATATCAGTCTCCATCTCCGGCGAAATCATTCACGGACATAAATGGAAAATCAACCAAATCAACCACCAAGGGTTAGTTTTTTTTTAATTATTTTTATTTTGAAATTTTTGCATTATTATTAGGTTTTTCATATTGAAATTGATGATAAGTTTACTGGTGCTTTCAATAATAGATTAACCATTTCACTTAGATTGCTTATTAAATTCATTCGATTGCTGCCAATACTGCTAAACTGTTTAGTCTTTAACCCTGTGATGTTAGTATTTGTCTTTGTTTTGTCTTTTGGTTGAAGTAATGCAATCCATTCAAGTTTCTTTCAATTTTAGTATTTGAAACCGAGAATGACTATCGCAATGCGATTCTGTCGTTGCGATTTTCATTTCGCGTTGCGATTCTTGCGTTACGATAGTCAAATTCGCGTTGCGATTGTCATTTTCGTGTTGCGATTTTCATTTCGCGTTGTGATTCTTGCGTTGCGATAATCAAATTCACGTTGCGATAGTCATTTTCGTGTTGCGATTTTCATTTTCGTGTTGCGATTTTAAGTTTCAGAAACTATTCTTCTTCTGCAAATTGAAACTTGAATGAATTGCATTACTTCAACCAAAAAACAAAGACAAATACTAAATTCACAGTGTTGCAAATTTAAGTTTGAAGAATAAACTACTACTCTTTATGTTTATTGTTCTTGTTATATCTTCACAGTGTAGTTTTTGGTATATCTAACTTGGTATGTTTATTGTTTTTGCAGAACTTTTATTCGGCTCAATTGACCTTAAGAAAAGATGGCTCAATTAGGATTTTGATGAGGATCCATATTTTGGTAGAGGAAAAGATGATTGTGATAGCACTGGTGATCCACATGTCAACCTTGTATGACCACTTTCCTTGCACCGACTACATGTCGATCTCTTCTTCTCTTCACCCTTAGACAGTATACGATCGTGACTTTTTGGTCGGCCAGGTAGCCTTCTGTCCATGGCTGGTGGCAAAACTGTTTGTAAGTCATCTGGTATGTCCCACTCAGAAGGATGTGGAATAGGGTAGACAATCTCGACATATGTATGTCGATATACTTCTGTAGTGTAGCAATCCATAGCGTATGCGCTTGAATCATCTTGGTTTAGATGAAGAGCAACTTTTATAACATGGCCACACGGATAACCAGATATTTGCCATTTCATACAACTACACGTCTTTGCATTTAGATCGACAAGCCCATTTAAGTTATTATCCAGTACTTCAAACAAAGTGTTTGAACATGGTTCAACTCTCCATGACGTTGACTTCACAACACGTTTCGTTATCTTTTTTTCAGTCCATGGTGTAACACGATGTTCCAAAGTTCATGTAAATTTAAATAAATAATACTTAGTAAAATATATGATAAGTTACGAATTTAAACAAATAATACCTGCATGGTTTCTTTTCTTGTAGTACCACTGTTGAATAGAGGCTCGAAAAAACTCCATTAACATAGTAATGGGTCATTTTCGGGAATGACGACTTAGAGCGTTGATTGATTATGCACTATTAGACGTCATGAAATCATATCTTTCTCTAAGTTGATGTACTCTTGACCATCTTTCAAACCCGACATCTTCTAGTGTTTGAGCACACTGAGGCAAAATACGTCTTAAACAGTTTATATGCTTATTAAAATCCACTTCCCGATAAGCTTTTACAGCCTTCCAGTTTGTCCATTTGTGATTTTTTATACCAGCACACCTTGATTTTAGATTTCTATACAAATGAACACCACAAAGTCCATGAAAAGCATCTGGGAAACACCTTCTAACAGCGTTGTCAATTGAGTTTGCCCTATCGGATATGATTGTCATATTGCTAATAGGACCTATGCAATCCCTAAGATGCCCCATAAACCATATCCATGAATCAGAGGTTTCAGATTTGCCAACCCCGTAAGCTATTGGCAGTATCCCATTGTTAGCATCCATGGCTACTGCTAATAAGTTTACTCCAAGGTATCGACCTTTTAAATGTGCTCGTCAACTATAATAACTGGGCGCAGGCAAGTAATAAACGAACGAATCTACAAAATCATATACACAAGAAATATAATCATTTAAATGTGAAATGCATGTAACTAACAAAAATGATTCAACAAAATTATATTGATTTACTAACCGCAACACCAATGGTGATAAACAGCAACTCAAAGCGTCCATCTCTATCTGTTTTGATATGAGTTACTGACCCAGGATTTTTCAGCTTTAAATTGTGATAAAAGCCGGCAGTTGGGCAAACGATGCTTCTGGCGACCCCCTCAACAATTCCAAGGCATAACATTTGGCTCTCCAAGCTTGAGAATATGAGATACTAATCTTGAACCGAGCATTCATGTCAGTCATAATTTTATGTCCCCGATATACCCTGCCATTCAAAAACATTAACTCAGCCAGAAAACCACCCAACACCTTTTTGTTTGCCTGTCTATGATGAGGAAAAATTTGGGTTCTTGAACATGTATGTTTATCAATAAAAGTCCTAACTTGAAAAATTTCGCAATCTTTTATCCTCTTTGCAATCATACGCCACGTACAGTTTTTGTCAATCATACACCTTGTTTCGAAACGATCTTTGCTTGATTTGTTAACTTTTAGTTGATAGCCATCTTCCACACATTTCGTATACAAAGCTATCTTCAAGTCTTCCTTTGTATCAAAACAATCATCTTTCTTGATACGAATAATTTTTGTGTAACAATCAACTGCTATCTTTACCAACTATTCTTCCGGTATCTGAAGTAATTCTGGCATATTCCAATTATACTCCCGTGGCATTTTCTTCGTGGACTTTTCTTTGGGGATTTCTTCTTCTTCTTTTTCTTCTTCAGGGTTATATGAATTATAGAATGGATGTTCAACATGTTCATTTACAGTCGTAACTTCCTCCTCATTATCATCAACGACATCTTCCTCGGTAACGGCTGTTTCATCATCAAAATTCGGGTATTGACCAATATCAAAATCATTACACGCAAGGTCTGTTTCTTTTTCTGAAAAATCATCAAAATCCGAGTATTGACCAAGATCAAAGTCCGGGTATTGACCAAGATCAAATTTTGAATACTGACTAGTACTCACAATTTTTTCTGTTGGCTCATCATCGTCTAACTGGTTAATACGAAAATCGAAATTTGGTGCTGAAAGTTGATTAGGATTTGGATTAGGAAAAGGTTGTGGGTTTTGAGATTGTGTTTGGTATTGGAAATGTGGTGAAATAATATTTGCTTGGTGATGAAATTGTGGTGGAACCATTAAATTTTGAGCACCATAAACTGGGGTTGAAAAACTTAGTTGATTACTACCCGTACTGACCCAACTTGACTACTTCTAGGTTCAACAACATACAATGTAACATCATCACTTGAAACACTAATGTAAGCAATGAAGCGTTCAACATCTTCATTGTCAGTTAACAAATAAACTTTACCATTTCTCTGATAAGATAGCCTAAATCCACTTAGGGGCTCTAAATTCAATTTATTTGCAACACGTAACATTAGAGTTTCATAAGTTAACTTTTTTAATGACAGTTTTAGTTGAAGTTTCATGGGTAAAGGCATATATTGTAAAACACCATGAACATTCTCCCATGACCCTCCAAAATACAAATCTATCCAAACATGATTAACATTAGATGATTTCATTATTGTAAATTAATTTACTAAACAAACGAGCTGCGAAACTAAAACCTGTTGCCAGATGGGGAAGGATGTCGTTGGATATAGGAACGGATGTCGCCGGAAAGAGTGATAGATGGAGATGGAATGAGTTACGATTTAGGGATTTAGGTTATGAGTTGCTGCTGCTGCGTAGTTATATACCCAAAACATTTGTGTTGCGAAACTAAAACCTGTTGCGAATTCATAAATCGAGTTGCGAATTTGAAATTCAGTATTGCGATAGTCAGAATCGCGTTGCGATAGTCAGAATCTCGTTGCGATAGTCAGAATCTCGTTGCGATAGTCAGATTTGCGTTGCGATTTATGTATTCGCGTTGCGATTTACGTATTCGCGTTGCGATTTACGTATTCGCGTTGCGATTTATGTATTCGCGTTGCGATTTACGTATTCGCATTGCGAATTAGGAAAATCGCAACGCGAATTTGGAAAATCGCAATGCGATAGTCAGAATCGCGTTGCGAATCTTGAAACTGATTTGCGATACCGGAGATCGTGTTGCGAATTATCGATCGCATTGCGATTTAGTTGGTCATTTTGGCAAATCCAAAAAAAGTTGATTAAAATCGTATATTATAAGGCATTTTTGGTCACTGAGGTTACTTTCTCTTAATAAAATAAAAGTAGGAGAAGCTCCCTGCCCCATGGCTTCAGCTCCTTCCAAGCTCTATGCAGGTTCCCCTTTCTTTTAACTTTTATCTACATTCACATAATTGTGATCGATTCCCTTCTTGGTGTTTCTTTTGTTTTGATAATTTTATTACTCTTTATCGTTGTTTTTTTGTTCAGATGATGTTAGCGTTATGGTAGTTTTGCTAGACACAAACCCATTTTTTCTGGAGTTCCTCTTCACTCTCTTTCTCTCAGTTTCTTTCTCATGTAATCTCTCTTTTATCTATCTAAAAACCCCTAAATTAAAGCAAACCAAGATGAAAGATTCATCGACTTTTGCATTTTATTGATATGTATGTTGGTGTTTGTTAAGGTTCTTGCATTTTTTAATGTAATATTGACTCTAAATCAACTGAACCAAGTCATGGTTATAGCTACTGGATATAATTCTTCTGACTATATATTTGATTCGGCTTTGGACTTGAACTGAGGTTTTGACAATGGAAGAATGCCTGCTATGAGCTCTAGCTTGTTGCAAAAGTTAGAGAAATTTCTCATTAAAGATGAGCAGTTAAGCAAGGAGGAACCTGAAGGAAGGATCAAGTCTTCCCTTTTCTCGGGGTCATTGTCAATGGCTCTATGTTGTATTCTTTCTGGTGTTTAAGGCTTCATTACTTTATTTTTTTTTCATGGTAAACGTAGTTATTTTAGACAATTAATGGGCCTATAGCGGTAGTAGTGTTATAGAGTCATGTAAAAGATTTGGTTGTTTCATAATCATACCTGACTGATATTGTGTGTACAATTATTATTCAGCTGCATAAAAATGCACGGAAAACAATGGCATTGGTTACATTTGCCTGGACTTTGTTAATCAGTTCTTTATTAGTTGTTTGATTTAATCAGATTTTAATAGATATAAAGAGAGTGTTCTGTTCAGGAGCCCTCCATCCACATCCTCGAGTGAGTCTCTGAATAATTGATTGCTATTTGATTTATTTGCCAAGATCAATATGAGTCTGAAAAATGTTTACTTACCAATTATGCAGTCGATACTCATTGTGAAATTTTATCATGTGGTTAAGAGATCGAATGCTATTTTCATTTTGTTGATGCTACACTTCTAAAAGATATTTGCTTAAGTGAATTAGGATAAATACAATTGTTGGTGCTGAAGTGCATGCTGGATGATGTAATTCCCTTCTTATTCATCAAAAGATTAAGAGTGGTTTAATTTCAAACAACTTGGAATAGCTATATTCTAACCGAGAAGTAAATGAAGAGTTTCTGTGGGTACATGTTGGAAAAAGAAAAACACTAAACGTGCAGATTTTGTAATTAGCTTATGGTGGCTGATTTTTATGTATTTTCTTGTTTAGTTTTTACTATTGTGTTTGATAGTATTTTACTAACATTTGTATGTAGATCTTATGCTTGCAGGGATCACCAGATGGACCTGAACAGTACGTTCTTTTTCTTTTTATGGTTATTCAAACTTTCCAGAAAGATTTCTTCTTTTCAGATATGTTGCAATCATGAATGCAATATTCTCTACCCAACGCTCTGAGGTAATCAATATTACATCCAATATTTCTTTCTCATTGTTTTAATATATATTTGTCCAATTCACCCCTCCCAAATAATTTTAATGTTTCATTAATTTGGCAGTTCATTACCAACTCAATTCAATTTATAGTGACTTGAAAACTTTAGATGATTAGTTGCGAAGTTCAATATCCTATTCTTTCTACCACCCGTAGCAGCTGTTTGGATTTTTTTTTTGTGATTTATATATATGGTATCACAATGACAGCTTCTAGTTGGTTATAGGGTCTTAATCTTGTAGTGGAAATATAATTGTTTTCATTCTACCATAGCTTGTTTTCAAGTAGGATGATTTGCATTATGTTAGTAGGTTAAATTTGATATATTTCATTTTTTAGTTTGGGATTTTTTTTATTATTCTCACTCCCTATAAACATTAATACACGCATGATACGTGTCGTAACCGGTTTTCGTCCGGGCACAAAATATAATATTTGGCGGGAAAATTGATGTGAATAAATGATTTTGAAAATAATTTGGGAGTCGCCATCGACCTTTTGGGTCAGGTAGGTCGAATATCTAAAGATTATTTTTTTTAAAAGAGTTTTAAGAAAACATCAATTAAAAAATGAACTGATCTACGTTTATAACCAAAAATTCGTTCTTTTTAATAATAAAAAGGGATTCGTGGTCGGTTACGTTTAGGGAAGGATTAGCACCCCTACAACGCCCAAAATTGGTACTTTTTAATTATAAATTGTCTCTATTAAAAATTCAAAATATATTTAATTTATAATCCTATTATTTCAAAATTAAAAATATTTATTTATTTAAAAATATCGGAAAAGGACTTCTAGGTGCCTTAAGACAGCTCTTTTCTTTGATATTAATAAAATTAAAATTTTTTGTAATATTTAATTTTAAAATACCAGAATAGGACATCCAGTTGTATTAAGACTGCCCTTTTCTTCGATATTGAAAAATAAATATTAAAATAATTTATTGAAAAAATATAAATTATTATTTATTATATATATTTATGACTACATAATAATAATAAAAATATTTAAATATATAAACAAGTAAAATTAAAACAATAAAAATACAATTAGAACGATATATTTAAAAGCAGTAAAATAAAAGAAAACATTTAAAATTAGTGACTAAATTATAGTAAAATTAAAATTAAAAACCTAATTCATAATTAATCAAAATTATAGGGATTAAACATGCTATTTTCTTATTTATTAATTTAGTGACTAAAATAAAACTTATCTAAAATTTGAATATCAGATTAAAATAAATTAAAAATATAAACTCGGGATTAAAATATTAATTATTAAAATTAAGGAATTAAATATGTTACCCTAAATATATTATTTTAATATAAAGGACTAAAATAAATAAAATTAAAATTTAAAGATCAAATTAAAAGGATTATAAATTGATTTAGTGACTAAAATGTAAGAGTTACAAGTTATAATGGCTGCGGACGGGATTTAACAATTAAAATTTGCACAAATAGTCCTTCCCGAAACGACGTCGATCGGGAAGGCCTATTTAAGGTCTGAAACGGCTGGCCCGCAGGGCCAGCCTTCATTTCTCAGTTTCTCCTCTCTCTCTCTTCTCTGAGAGAGAATTTTCTCTCTCGCTTCTCTCTAAAACAGAGAGAAGCCAGCCGGCCGGCAGCCGTCCGCCGGTGTTCTTCCGCCGCCGGCCACCGCCTTCGGTGGCCGGAATAAAAAATTTTTTATACTAAAACATAGATCGGACCGTCCTAATGACGGTTCCGATGGCTTTTTCTTTTAAACGGCTCCCGATCGGAGCAAATCTAAGAAATATACCTTCGGTTTTCGAAGGTTTTGGTGAGGTCCGGTGGTCGTGGCTTCCTCGGTAAGCTTCTCTTCTTTCTTTTTTTTTTCTCTATTTCTTTGCTGGTTTGTTGGGTTGTTGTTCTCTGTTTTGTTGTTTTTGCTCTGTTTCTGTCTCTCCGGCTCTGTCTCTTTTTCGCAGATGGGGTGATGGCTTTATAGCCATCACCGGTGTGGCCATCGGACCGGGTAAAAGAATGGAGTCTGGTGAGTCACCAGACTCCCAGTGGTGACTCACCGTTGGGATGACATGTGTGCGGCTGGAGTGGCGGCGAGGCTGAAGTAGCGCCGCGTGGTCTTCTGGAATCTACGGCGGCGCTGGGACGTGTCCCTAGGGTATTGATACCCTAGGGTTTCCTCTGGAAAACTATGGACCGTTGGATCAAACCAGATCCAACGGCTGACATTGAGGATGGTGGCTGAAGATGATGAAACCCTAATCAGTTTTAGGGTTTCGGTTTAACTGGGCCTGGACCAGTATGGGTTGTAATTGGGCCTGGATTTGGGCTTTGTAATATTAATAAATAATTAATAATAATAATAATAATAATAATAAAAATGGGTAAAAAAATTTAATATCTTCAGCTGCCCCTCTTTGCTCATTCTTGTGTTGACAAGAATAGGGAAAAGACGAAAAGTTAAAAAAAAAATTATCCATTTAGCTCCACTTGACTATGATGGAGATGTTGAATAAATTCTTCTCTTTCTTCAGATGAGTTCTTCTCATTATGAACTTTCCGTTGGGGATGATGTTGACCTCTTTCCTTCTGTGATAGAGTTATTCAAAAGGTTGAATAAGCTCTACTCATTATGAACTTTTTCTTTCTTTTTCAGATGAGTTATTCTCATTATGAACTTTATCTGGAAAGGTTGATCCATCAAGTGATGGATTTGAGCAAAAGGTTGAACAAATTCTTCTCATTATGAATTTCTTCTTTCAGACGAGTTCTTCTCATTATGAACTTCTTCTTCTTCAGATGAGTTCTTCTCATTATGAACTTCTTCTTCCTTCTTCAGATGAGTTCTTCTTATTATGAACTTCTTCTTCTTGAGATGAGTTCTTCTTATTATGAACTTCTTCTTCCTTCTTCAAATGAGTTCTTCTCATTATGAACTTTCTCTAGAAAAGCTGATCCATCAAGTGATGGATTTGAGCAAAAGGTTGAACAAATTCTTCTCATTATAAATTTCTTCTTCCTTCTTCAAATGAGTTCTTCTTATTATGAACTTTCTCTGGAAAAGCTGATCCATCAAGTGATGGATTTGAGCAAAAGGTTGAACAAGCTCTTCTCATTATGAACTTCTTCTTCCTTCTTCAGATGAGTTCTTCTTATTATGAACTTTCTCTAGAAAAGCTGATCCATCAAGTGATGGATTTGAGCAAAAGGTTGAACAAGCTCTTCTCATTATGAACTTCTTCTTCCTTCTTCAGATGAGTTCTTCTTATTATGAACTTTCTCTGGAAAAGTTGATCCATCAAGTGATCGATTTGAGCAAAAGGTTGAACAAGCTCTTCTCATTATGAACTTCTTCTTCCTTCTTCAGATGAGTTCTTCTTATTATGAACTTCTTCTGTAAAAGCTGATCCATCAAGTGATGAATTTGAGCATAAGGTTGAACAAATTCTTCTCATTATGAATTTCTTCTTCCTCCTTCAAGTAATGAGTTCTTCTCATTATGAACTCTACCTGGAAATTTTAATCCATCAAATGATGAATTCAAACAAAAGGTTAAACAAATTCTTCTCATTATGAACTTCTTCTTCCTTCTTCAGATGAGTTCTTCTCATTATGAACTTTCTCTGGAAAAGCTGATCCATCAAATGATGGATTTAAATCTTTGCTAAAATCTTTGAAATTCCTGTCAAAATTCAACATGGATGAGAATGAATGAAAATGCACCTATATTTGCAAATGCCTAAATATGATGCATGATTGTTAAGTTATTTGATTTCAGATTGGTGAACTGAATATTTCTTCAGTTGTAGAAACCCAATAAATCTTTCTTCTTCAAATCAGAGAATCTATCATCTTTGACAAATGTAGATGTAGATATAATGTCACAAAACCTCTTGAGAATAAAACTCAATAGTATAGGCTCTTGAAAAGCTTGCATTCATGCAACATATTAATTCTGATAACAACTCATCTGATTATGAAGTGATCTTTCAAGATGATTTCACATATATCGATAGTTCTTTTAATACAGAGAAATCTTGAATTCTGATTCTGATGAGGAGAATAAACTGTTATACTTGACAAAAATGGGATTCTTAGAGGCTGAAGCTTCAATAGCCATGGAGAGATGTGGTCCAGATTCATCAATTGCAAAATTGACAAATTTTATATGTGCTGCTCAAATGGCTAAGGTTACTGACACATTTCTTCCGGTAAAAGATGGGAAACCATTATGCAATGATCCCAATTACAAGAAAAGGCGAAACTTGGGCTATGATTTTTGGGAAAGGAATAAGCAAAAGAAGCTTTAAAAGAAACTTCTTAATGAAGATGATCATGCAATTCATCTTTTAATTCCAATGATTGTTTCTGGGTTTTATATCAAACCAAATCAGAGAACTCAAAGAACTCAAAGAACACTTCCAGAAGATGCTATTAGCACATTACTCTTCCAAATTCAATGATTGGTTTTACCAAACCAGATCAGATAACTCAAAGAACACTTCCAGAAGATGCTATGAGCACATTACTCTTCCAAATTCAATGATTGATTTTACCAAACCAGATCAGATAACTCAAAGAACACTTCCAGAAGATGCTATGAGCACATGGCATTTGTTCCAGTTAATGTTTGGACTGGGATATCACAGTACTTATTCGATGTAAAGCCAGAATTTGTAGATTTGAAGCATTTTCATGCTACTACACTGAAAAGGGCTATATTCATAATTCTGCCAATTAAGAACAGATTTTCTCTTATTCTGCTTCCTCCATGTGCTGATGCTTTTCCATTGACAAAGAAATGATGGCCTTCTTCGAATCCAAGAACAAAGTTGAACTGTTTATAAACATGTACAGGAAATGCCAAATTGACAGAAAGGATATGTAAGGCTCTTGAAGCTTATGACAAAGAGCCACATTCGAGTGTCCAGAAGTATGTTCTTGATGAGTGCTGAAAATGG